CCCTTCCAACCTAAACCATTCTATGATTCCACTTAAAAGTGAAGTACCACAGCTCCTTAAATGGAATCCAGGGACCTTTGTTGGTAACACATATTCTACAGATGGTGAACTGGACGAGTAAGTGACATTACAGTAGACTTTGGTGCTTTAGGGAGATCTTCCTACAGTTAAAAGTAACTTCAACAGAATAAGTTTAAAATGATAAATCATAAAACATTTTAAATAAATTTTTGCAATACACTAATTAAGAGTATCAGGTAATCTTTCTTTTTTTTCTTCTCTATGTTTCGTAATTCTAACTTCTGAATTGTTATCAATCAGAAAAAAAATTTCTGACATATTAGGCATGTTCTGAAAAGATGTTATGCCTCTCACTAACAGGAAGTCAATGTGAGATCCGATCTGAGTATATTCAGAAATGAGAAAAGAGAAAAATAGGTCAAAACAATTAATTATTGAGAAATGGAATTAATAATTTGGCAACATGACTTCAAAATGTCAGTAAAGAATAAGTCTTGGAAATGAAAATTAAAAAAAATACAATCCAAAATGAAACAAAAATATTTGCTTAATTTCAAGCTTTCTTTTCTAAATACAGTAAACTGACCTTTTTGTTGAATTACTTCTTTTTCATGATACCCTATTTTTTGTATATAAGTGTTTCATCAAAACCAGCTGTACAAAATCAGCTTCTTGTAGTACACTCAATAACACAAATGATTTTCACTTGAAAATGCAACTTAGTCCTTAGTTCGGAGGTTGTTTGTAAGCTAAACGACAGCTGAAATGATGTATTTTGAAATATCCTTTCCCCCCGCCCTTCTATTACCTAAGTACATTAAAATATACTTCTATTAAAACAGAGAGCATCACACCACACTCACTTGTATGTCCAACACAATTTCATTAGATCATAGACTTCTGTTGGACAGACTTCAGGACGTTCCATTCGTTCTCCTCTTTCAATCATCTGTGCAACTTCACCACCTTTCATTCCCTGGAACAAGGTGACCAGAACAGTCATCCAAGTTGCAAATGATTGCAGCACACATGCTACTATAAAACAAATACAGGCCTGGAGCTGATTTTTGGGCTATCCTTTGACTCAATTGTTGCAACAGATGGGGCGCTAAGGCCTGCTTTGGCCTGCAATAACCATTTTTGGGTAGGAAAAGCCATTGGTTCAAATTGCTCTGAATTTTTACAGAAAAAAAAATGCCAGATAGAACTACTTACTTTATATGGTTTTTGCCCATAAGAGAAAGCTTCCCACATTAAAACGCCAAAGCTCCAGACATCACTTTTGCTAGAAAATTTGTAGAAATTCATGCATTCTGGAGCGTACCACTTAACTGGCCATTTCCCATGACTTTGTGCCTAAAATAAATCAAAACAGAATTGAAAGAAAGCAAGTTAGAGACAGTGCTAAGTAGTAAACAACATAAGAATTTATATAAGACAAGTTAACTTAGATCTGCACACATTCTTACTAAGTACCATAACATTTCTGATGGAGTTGGCATTAGAGACAATGGGTAGTAGCTTCTTCAAAAGTGTTTTAAAAATGTTCCTAATCTTCCACTTTCAAAATAATGCATAGAAATTAAATCTATGGTAAAGCAAAGCTTACCTAAATGACCTGGAGTCATGTTTTTCAAAGCATTTAATTCAAAGTTGCTCTTTAAAAGTAAGATCTTTCATGTAGGCTGTCCACAGAGGGTAAGAGAGACACACCCACCTACACTGAGTCTATTACTTGAAGCTGATGCTCCATTTGAAAGCACAGTCACTGTTTTCTGTCAAACTGCAGTCTGATTAAATTATGCCATAACACTGTGTTACGACAATGCAAGTGTCAAGCTCTCCCAGCACAATGCTAGATCTAGTGAAAGAACCCCACTGCATTCTGTGCAGTTGTAAAAGGAATGGGTCTTTGATACCAGTTCTAAAACCTGTGACAAGCAGCTTTGGCTAGGATAGTGGCAGTGATTTAAGATGATATTGCCTTTTCTGTCAGCAGTTACTATTCCCATAGGAATGTCATCAGAAGGGAGTATGTGCTTTCTCCTCCTCTGCAGCGTTTCATGGTCTGACTTATTAAACAGCTTATGAAAGGGAATAGGTAGAAGGAAGAGATAATTTGAACTGCAAGAGCAACACATCAGAAAAAAAGATGCAGACATGATAAAAGCCTTTGTCTCACACAGATGTTTTTACCTTATTAAATGTGGCAGTTATTTCAGTCCCTTTCGGTGTACAGAGATCCAGTGAATTGAAAACCAAGCTAAACAAATTCTGTTTAGATCAAATTATTATTTACCGATGGTATTCTCTCAAAAAAATCTCCCCAACTTCAGTTCTGTTTGTTAGTCAATAATACAGTGTGCTAGCCTAAATTTTCCCTGGATGTGGTGAAAAGCTCAAGTGCCCAAAAGTTCCCATCTGTAACACAGGCATTTTTCCCCTTTTATATAAGGAGATATCTCATTTCCACAGAAAATTTCAACCTTCTAATGATGTTTACCAAAAGTAAATGAAAGAATTAAGCAAATAAAAGACGGAACTATCTTTTTCCTCCCTACTCATCTCTTAATGTTCATCATGCATTTTGAAAATCAGTGACCTACTCTCAGGCTATAAAATAATGGATGATATATATTATTTATTATTTTCAACTTTTAAAAACAACTGCACTTCAACTGAAAACAACCTTATTAAGCTATGCTACTACACAGCCTTCATGTCTTCTGCAAACCTTACCTTATAGTAATTTTCATCAGCACTAAGAGCTTTAGAAAGTCCAAAGTCACTAATTTTGGCATAATGCTGAGTGACTAATAGCACGTTCCTTGCAGCCAGATCCCTATGAACGAAGTTATTCTCCTCCAGGTATTTCATCCCCATGGAAACCTGATGTACCAGCTCTGTTATATTCTTTTCCGTGACATGTCTGAAAATCATAATTGAATTTTTAAGAGGTCAGGAGTTCATTTTCATGACTTTTCATGGAGTTCAAATATAAATCTTTACTATGAACTTCCCCACATCATACTAGGAACCTGATCCACTTATGTTTAGCCAAGCTTTAATTATAACAGGCAGCATAAGAATACCCTGAGCAAAATGATGCATGATATATCAATAAATGAGCAATTGAAGGACACGTGAAAATTCTTTCAGTTAATAAAAATGTACTATTTTACCAGGAATACTTGACAGTTAGGCAACACGTACAAGATAATAATGTCCCAGTGAAGAGTAACTACAATCATTAGTTATTACATTAGCAACCAACGTGTCAATTTAAAATCGCTCTTAGAGAGGGAAAAAAAAAAAAAGAGGACCTGTATCATTTTTCCCCTTTGGATAAATCGTATGAAATGGAATCAAAACTTACATACCTATTTTTTTGCAAATATTTGTTCAATGGCCCAAGTTCAGCCATTTCCATTACTAACATCCAGGCCTCTGCTTCACATATGCCTATCATTCGGACAATATATGGGTTATCCAGTTGCTGCATTACATTTGCTTCTCTCAGTAATTCATCTTTTACGGCTGGATCATTACTCTCATTCTTAAGAATTTTTACAGCTACTGGCTTGGCACCCCTACAAAAAAGAATCCAGTTCTGGGGTGAGTTGCTAAAAAAACTGTGTGCAAACACATATGATCTTAATCTGATGTTTCTGTGCACATAGTACAGACTGTGACAAAAGACAGAATTGGCCTTCAGAGGGGAAAAAACTGACTGTAGCAGGAACATCGCTCTATCAAATGCTCAGAAGACATCTAAGCAAAAGGGAGAGAATGGAAAGAACCTAAGAAAACTATAAATAATCATAAAAATATCTTAACAAGCCTGAAAACAAATGTACTGGACAAAATTTTCTTACCCATTCCGGCAAGAATGCCATAAAGCTGTAAAGGTCTTTCTAAGCACTGAGGTGTTTTGAGGGTGAGACTAGAACAAGCAGCGTTGCAAGACCCCAAGGCAGTGCTCTGAAATCCTGAGAAACTAAGCCTGCTCCTGCAACCTGCAGCTCATACAACTAAGAGAAAGAGTGACTGATGAGACTGACAGAGCTCAAGTGTGAAACAAGGTTAGCAAATACACCAGCTGGGACCAGAGCCCTTCAAATCCCCTCAGACTGTACTGGAAAAAGAAAAATCCTAACTGGCTCTGAAAACCTTGGTTAAAGAAATGCCTCCAGCTTCAAGTGGTGAAAGTGTGTGTATATGTAATCAGCTCATGCACTTTAACAACATACTGACAACATTTTACTATGAAAACACATGGACAGTCAGGTGCTCCTACTTCTGCCAGTATAATCAGGGTCTGTTCCTACTGCAATTACATTATAAAAGAGGTCACAACATGTTCTGTCTTCTTGAAAAATCAACATTCCAGCTTCACAAAACACCTTATCATACTTATTTTAGGTGAAAATATCTTTGCTACAGGTAAGCTGTTCATGGCACTCTACACTACTTCTCAGAGACAGGTTGTACAGACAGGAAATACTGAGTACCATGACTGCCCATACAAACTACTGAGGAAAGCAGTGGACTTCTCATTCTGCTGTCCCTGACAGGAGAAAGAAGTCATAAGGGGCCCCTCTCCACTTTATAGACAAAAATAATGTCTGAGAGATGACTATGCTGCAGGCAAAGAGGTATCTGCAAACAGAGGAAAAGACAATGAGTGTATAGCAAATAAGTGTATGAGTGTATATACAACGAGAGAAACTGCTGAATATTAGCCCAAATTGCTTGGGTACAGTCTGTCACCCCACATGACATGCAAAGATTACTGCTGCTCCAAAAAATAAAGGCTAGAGCTTTCACATAACAGACTCCACGACAGCAGAAGGAAGTACTTACTTTTTCATCTTATAGAACCCTTTCTTTACAGTACCAAAGTTGCCAGAGCCAAGTTCTCCTTCCTCCAAGGTCAATAATTTCCTGTCAAGAGTGACATTTTTTGGTTTCATTTCATCTGGATCAGCATATGGACTTTCATAGACCTCAGTATCCATGGGTAAGGCCTCTCTCTGATCACCTGCAGTTCAATCAATGAAAAAAATCAGACATTAAGTGAGACATTTTTGCTGACACAGCTACTCTATTCACCCTTTCTATGTCAGGATCATCAGTGTGTTTGACTTATGAGGGCATTATAAAGAAACCACATGCCATCCAGCTACAGCTACTTTAGAACACCCCAAAAGAGACTGATGTCCACCTGGTGACATGCTCTAACTATTGAGCATTTGTGTAATGTGAAACTAAGAGGATCCCTGACAGAAGGAGGGTAGAAGTCTGGCCCTTCTCTTTAGTACTCCCCATTAGTTACTTCAGACCATTCTTCATGTAGAATGCTGCCTTATATTTAGTTCATTCTTAGGTACTCATCTTTAATTGCATTTTACAGAAAGCTTGAGCACCAACTTGTCACTTGTGGATGCAACAGAGCACAATTCTTTTTATGAAGTGCAGCTTTCTGGATTCAAAGATTCCATTTCAACATGGAAAAAGGGATTTCTACTAAATGACTTATTACACATGGTGACATCTGGCAGTTTCAGCCACCAGGCTTGAGCTATGATAGTAGCTATACCAAAACACAGCATGGTGTGAAATATATGCAAGAAAAAAGAAATACAGATTGAGGAGAGATCTCTGGCATAAAGAAGAAAATTGTATTAATTACATAAATTACTCTGCTTACCTCTTTCTGCTCCTGCAAGACCTCTGTTTCTTTGCAGCACATAAGGGTTAAAAGGTGCTTCATCAGGTAGGTGGCCAATAGTTGGCTGAAACTGTAGCACACAAGTAGAGTTTTTATGTTTAGCAATGAATAGGTAAGTTAAAAGCATTTTTTTTTCAGAGGATTATGGCAAAATGATTGCAAGAGACAAATAGGTGACAATCAGAAAGTAAGAAAGGAGATCCAACAGAATTTATTCATTCTGGAGATTACTGTTCGAGTAAATACGCAGGCCAAATGAAACATACACTGCTAAAGCATAAAAAGTTATTGCAAATATTTCAGAGCATTTGATCTGAGAGAATCAATTGGAATGAGTCATGCACAAATCTTATTCTGCACACATTAAATTTACATGCTTTTTTCAAATCTGCCTTGTAACTTAAGCAGTCATAAGGATTTCTCTTTAATCTCTCCTTCCTCCCTCTGCAAGTTATCTCCCTCCATATCTAGGCCATGGAGAAATTCCTAGCACAAACAAAACCAAGAAAATACATCCCTGTTTGTCTTGTGGATGTTATAGAGTGACTCCTCTTGGAAGAAACTGGGGTAAAAAGTAATAATTTTAATAAGCTTGTGTAATGTGGACAAACATCATGGACCAGATACTAGGCTGGTCGGTCTACTCTGAGAACGGAGATGACCTAACTCTTACTGCACTTGAACATCTGGCTCAAATACAATCCCTCTGCTTTTATTCTTTGTCCTATAGAGCACACAAATCACCCCAGAAGAAACACAGTGTGTTCTAGAGCTCTATGGCAGAAGGATGATTTTGGCACAATAAAGTATAGATGAAACTTCTAATCTGCTCTCATCTGTCTGTGAACTGTCAGGAAGAGGGAATTACAGAACTTATTTCTGTAGTTTAGTCCCTTTCCTCTCTCACTGTAGAAACTGTACTCTACTCATTGAGTGACCTCACCCTCCAAAGTGTTTTAAAACCAGAAATTCAAACATCAACATGAGTTTGCTCAGCTCAAATAGGAAACAAAGGTATATTGTATTTGCAAAGCACTGGATAGGGTTATTTTGCAAATATTTGAGTATACAATTCTTTTTTTTAATAACTGAAGCTTTCAGTGGCATAAATTCCTGTCTGAAACAGTTGTGGTTTTCAAGTAAAGACAAACAAAGGTTGATAAATGTCCAGGAGTGAATTATTATGTGCAACAGAAGTTTTAGCAATTGGAAACTTCATTTTGTACAGAAAACACCTGACCTGGGTGGTGCGGACCTTTAAATTGCAATTAAGTGATCTGCCCAGTTGTCTGAACCAGAAGTTTCACTACATAGATTTATAGCAAATCCCTAGTAGGAGGTCAGCACTCAGCAAGATTCTGGCCTAGTGGGATAAGCATGGTGGCATCAGGGATGGTAAGGGTAATGTTTCTGACTTGTAATCGCTCCGTCTTGTGGAACAGCGTTGAAAGGCAACTAGCTGGCAAGGCAAGCTACAAGAGTCTTGAAATGGTTCTAAGATAGGCCAGGGACAAAACTGACCTGCCAATCTCAAGAACAAGGAGGTAAATGAATGGTATAAAACAAGATCCTCAGCTCCAGTTTTATTTTTCTAGCCTGGTACACCCTGCCTGTTCTGCAAGTTAAGAACTGTATTTCCAAGACTTGTATCACAGTTCACACACATCATTCACTAAATTTTTCTAGCCTGGTACACCCTGCCTGTTCTCCAAGTTAAGAACTGTATTTCCAAGACTTGTTCACACACATCATTCACTATCCCAAAAAACCCCACTAAGACTGGAACCAATCCTAAACCTCTCAAGTGTTGGGCTGGCAATTTCACTGTGAATTTTTCCCTGCGCTATGTCAGGATATATAGGGAAATGTTTATGTTCACTCAAAAATATTAATCAACTTTTGCAAAGCAAGAGTTGATTGAGATTATATGTAAGTACATATAAGTATATATAAGATTAGATATACTCAATAAGTATACATATATATAAGTATATATATATACACTTACTGAGACCACAGTGATTTTAGTTTGTGCATTTCATATGTCCTGTATGACTTCAGAATACATCAAGAATAGTTTTTTTTAGCTTATTGCTAGTTAATATGACCCATTCATTATTACCACTAAGAACTGGTTATAGTTCCATTGTATAGCTTCCTGCATGTATTCCTGCTTCCTACATTAACTGTATTTATACTTTAAAAGGGAGATAATTTTACATTCCAAAAGGTAATTGGAATAAATTAACTGAGTGGATACAAAGCAGTATAGACTGACATTAATACCTGTTGCTACACATATACAAGTACAAAGGAAGCAGATGAAAATTGCCACACTGCATGGATTTTAGGGAAACCCCTGTTTAACGCTTCTTGGCCAAGGGGTCCAAAAGTAAAGTGGGAAAAAAAGGAGAAAAATATGGTCACTACCCAAGAAAGTGAGTGAGATGCTGAGTCTTCAGTGGCAGTTTTCAGGATATTGGAAGGAAAGTTCTAAGATGCTTAGGAATGACAGAATCACAGTTTCAAAGGATGCCTTTTATGTACTTTATCCTTAAAATAATATTTCTGATAGAAAAGCAAAGTGTTCAGAAAACTACATCTAGAATGGACTGCATCACTCTGGGACTCCTTTGCTTTTTGAAAGCTTTGATAATACTATCAGTTGTCTTCTGTTCACTGTTGGGAGTACCTCAACTGTGGACCAAAAAGTGTGATGGGAATATCTGAACCCAAGCCTTGAAATGTCCCACAGCACACCTCTCATTTAAAACACTGAAATCTTTTCTGTCTTCACAATTAGATAAAGTCATATGGGTGCAGCTGCAGCTCAAATCTAACTACTGAAGCATGGCAGCTCCATCCTCTTTCTTTCCACAAATGGTCAAGTGCTGGATAGAGTTTATGTAATTTCTGTTACATAATGAGGAAGATAAATTCAGCCTACAGAAAGTTAAAACTTCAGCAGATCTTCCTTCTTTTTAGATGAGTAAAATATTGTGTACCACTTTTCCTTATTGTAACCCAAGCTTATGAGAAATGAGATACAACCGCTTTGTGAAAGGCCTTTGAAAATTATAAGCTCAAGATTTCAAATGGACTTGAACTTACTGTTTGAAGAAGTGATGGGTTTTTTGATGGCAATATGACCCTGCAGGCTGAATCATAATGATAGAAATTACCAATTCCATTGCAACACCTTGTATAAGTCTGATAAGTAAGCTTCATCTGATTGATGCTGAACAACAGGGCAGAAACATTTAAGAAGTACTCAGCCAGTACTGGATAACCTCACAAATTTTAAAAAACTTGGAGGGCATAAGGTCTCACGTGATTATTATTAGTTGCAGGCTAGAGAGGTAGTTAAATATGCCTGATCCTAGGTCTCAGTGTATGAATTGGCATACTTTGGACTGGCCAGATAGAATTAATGTATACCAAACTCATACACCTCAAGACTTTCACCAGTTCAGAACAGCTGGTAGAAACGTAGCTCTGGCCATGACACAGCTGACTCCTCAAATGGGACTGATAAGAGACATTTCTGCTCTTTGCAACTGAAAAACAAAATAAAAGAATCAGAAAGTATTGGATGCTCTTGCTCAGGAACTGCATTTGAAAAAATTAGTGCATTACTCCTGTGCCTGTTAATAAAACTGCAGCTGTGAATTGGAAGTGACACAGTGATACCTAATCTAACAAACTGAGTTCTCTTTCTCAGAAAGCTGCTCATGTTAAAGATGAGTGATAACGTCTTACGTATCGTTCGGGTTAGCTTAGTTAAGAAATATACATGCATGTGTGGAATGACATTTCCCATCGTTGCAGTTTGATTAAACAGCTTAACAGTAGCTTTTTCATTAATAGTTCTGGTTTAACTGCAATTTGATGTTTCACAGGCACCTCTTCAGTTCATATTAGTAACTTGGGAATATTGTGGAGCATTCAGAGAACCTCAAACATTTTTCTTTAGTTTTGTCAGTTAATGTATTCGTGGTATGTAGCACCTTGCATGCTTTTCAACAGGATTTTCTAGCAGAAAAGTTGTAATTTTTCTCTTGAAGTTAAACAAGGCTGTCTAGAAAGGGTGCAGGAGGTATGTATTATTGCATGTACAGTGGTCTGGATAACAGTATAAGGAAATCTTCTTTTTCTTTAACTATCATTTAAATACAGAGTCCTTTCTGCCCTACACTTTAAAAACAGCAAGTTTAATTCTGCAGATCTTTTTCTGATAAAGGGAGGTTTGTCTTAATACAACCAAGATATAGGGTAGGAGATTACTCCTTGTATTCTTACAAGAAGCAAAGAATGAGCAAAATGACCATGGATTTCTTGTCCAATAAAGAGGAATACAAGAAAAGAATCCACTAGAGGAGCCTGCTAAAAATGGCACATCCTATGTGACAGATTCTGGCATGCAGACCTGCAAACTATGGGGCATATCTTTTTATGCTCTTACACTAGAAAGCTATTGTCAGCCTGTCCTTGTTTTCACATCAACATATTTTTTTTCTCCCAATAGGGTTTAATTTTCACTAGTTAAACTTCTCAGGTACCCATAGTTAAGCTAATCTGAATGTGTCACTCTTCCTTCCCCCTGTTGTGGACTGGCTGTACTAAAGTGGCACTTTTATAGTAGTAGAGCCACATCCACAATGAGAGGAAAGCAGGAGGCAGAGAATTTGCATTGACTCAAAGATATCTTTCTAGTAAAGGGAATACCACTTTCTACGCATGGATAATGCTTTAGTAGGGTAAACCCTAAGCAGGTTTCATAGCATCTAGCTGATGCAATGAGAACAAGACTCACTTACTGTTTGCTTTAAAATATGAATGAAATGGCTCTAACGACTCTGATTTTTATAGTAAAGATTATCATTTTATAGTAAAGAATATACTTATGAAGGCAATCAGTACAGCAAGTGCGATGTATTTTCAGGTTAATTTTTCTAATTTTCAAAAACGCAAACGTATATGTAGGACTATAAAGTCGCCTTATTTTACTAAACCAAACCGAATAGCAAAAGCCCTTATAAGTCAAATCCTCAATGAGCCTTGGCTAAGACATCTTAGTCACCACTAGGTGGCACGAGTTCATTTAAATTATCGTCTAATTGGCAATTTTACCCTAGTGAGTAAAACAGCTTGAAAATTTTTATCTGAGTGCTAAAATTAAATACAAAGAACCAGTCTGTGAAAATTTTTAAAACCCCCATAATTTCCAAGACATAAATATAACAGCATAAATTTTCTGTTTTACTGTCTGAAAGTTTTTGACAGAAGAGAAGTAACTGCTTGATCAACCAGGTCTAAAGTAAACTCTGCTTGTTGGGGTCAATGGATGGTAAATCTTTGAAATGTTCAGAGCAGGGCTTTTGTTTAAAGCCTAAAATTTGGCAGTATGATGAAATGTGTGGGTTTGAGTATTCAGGGTTAAGTACACATAAATGGTGATCAAATCAGATTTCTGAAATTATTTTCTTAAATGATTGGTCTTTCTCTGCCAATCTGCTTCAGTCTGTACTCTGCATATGTTCTCCCAAAGGTAGGAAATAGGGTATTTGACTGCAGAAAGCAACTAGAGAGAAGCACAGGTTTTACTAGGTAAACAGACAGCAGAGTGACCAAAGCCATGTCTAGAGAACTCAGACCCCATACTCACTTTTCTGAACAAACCCAAAATACGTTTCTTGTATAATTTGTGATAGTATGACTTTTTTTTTTTTCATATGGCTTTAGAACATGTCCTGACACTCTATATATATTTGTACGAGATGACAGCACATTAAAAATGAGACATGGGTCCTGTAAGGGTGTACAGATCACAATAACTACTGGTACTTCAGTATAAAAGTGAAGTTATAAAAAAAGAATAATTGCTATTTATCATGATTTTTAAATACAGTATATGCCAAACATAGTTTTTCACTCTGAACAACAGTGTACCTCTAGGGCTTTTTATGCCTGCTCATTTTTGTTGAAGAGCAACTGGAAATAAATAAATAAATAAATAAATAATAAAAAAGAAGACTCATGGGTGGAACAGGGACATGTGTTATCCTCAGCATGCAAACAAAGCTCAGAACTACATGCTTCACAACTACATCAATTACTGGACAGCATAATTTTCTGGCCATGCAGCAGCATTTTCATTAGTACAGGTCTGGGTACCCCTTGACTCCATGACATCTTGCCACCTTTCCCATTCTGCTTAGTCTTGTGACATCTTACATTTGCTCCAATGTAATTAACATCAATGCATAACAAGATTTGTGCACACAGTTTCTGCAAGAATATATTTTGTGGTTGTTACTAACAAATTGTTCCCTAAATGTGCTCAGTAATAGCATTGTGTAAGCAAGCCAATTTTCTGATTAGGAATGATAGTTCAGAGCAGAAATACAATTTTGTTTTTCTGTGATTGGTTTTTGAAAATAATTTTATCATTTACATTTTATTTGTAGACATGTTGAGATCTGCACTAATATTTTGGTATGTGAGAAATTACTTTAAAATAGTTCCTCAGTTTTTAAAACTTCTTTAAAACCATTGCTTTAGTTATAAAATCGAGGCCATAATTATGCAGATGATTAGGAAAGAAGCAGAAAGCTTACAAAATCTTCACAATCTCATTATTAGTAGCCAAGACACACATTTAGTAACAGCAAGCCAAAAGAGGGGGGAAAAGTGTGAAATTAGTCAAGTGTAAGTCCTCTTAACTCAGTTAAAAACCTAAAAAGACTGTATAAGGCACCTTTTTGCTGCCAGCCTTTGGAAAGGTGTACGATTTGAGTCTTGAGATAATTCCACCTCCTGCCCAACTCTAGAAACCACAACGTCAAAGAGGAACAGTAAATGTGTCAGGAAAACAGAAATAGCTATTTTATAAAACAGATGCAGTATACAAGAACAAAACACTCCCATTCTTTCTCTTGCATGTGCCTGCAAGTACACTTATTATGCACCAAACAAATGTAGTATAGGAAATCTTAGTGCTAAATTTTTTTCAACTATATTATGTGTAAACCATCTTGAATCTGTATATATAACTTAACACAGTTTTTAAATTGAAGCATGTTGCCCTTTCCCCAGTTCTTTTACACAGTACGTTTCTCCTGCCTCTATGAATGAACATTAGCCACCTCTGATCATATTTAACAGTGTAAATCAGTTGATAACTGGTGTCTTGAAGTATGAGTAATGTAACAAGCAAGATTTGAAGCACACCTTGATCTAACAACAAACAATGTGGTTATTGAAGCAAAAAAGCACACAAACTGATATTAATTCCAAACAAAAATGAACAGGCTTTAGATTTTACATGTTCACTTATGTTCTGTATAAAGATAATTCTCAAAGAAATGCAAAGACATTTTACAATAATACATTAATTTAATTAACTGTGGCTAATAATGCTTTACAGAGGGACCTGGACAGGTTGGATCAATGAACTGCAACCAACTGTATGAGGATCAACAAGACCAAGTGCCGGGTCCTGCACTTGGGTCACAACAACCCCATGCAACACCACAGGCTTGGGGAGGAGAGGCTGGAGAGCTGCCTGGCAGAAAAGGACCTGGGGGTGTTGGTCGACAACTGACTGAACATAAGCCAGCAGTGTGCTCAGGTGGCCAAGAAGGCCAACGGCATCCTGGCTTGTATCAGAAATAGTGTGGCCAGCAGGACCAGGGCAGTGATTGTGCCCCTGTACTCAGCACTGGTGAGGCCGCACCTTGAATACTGTGTCCAGTTTTGGGCCCCTCACTACAAGAAGGACATTGAGGCACTGGAGCACATCCAGAAAAGGGCAACAAAGCTGGTGAAGGGGCTGGAGAAGTTATGACTAGTGGCTGAGGGAACTGGGGTTGTTTAGTGT